CAAAAAAAAAAAAATATTATTAAAAAATAAAAAAAGATATATCTATATGTATGTGTATATATATATACTTAACAATAATATATGTATATTACCGAGAGCCAAGTCTTTCCCCAAGATGGTATATGAGTTGCACTACCATGATCAAGGATCCAACTACGAGCTCTGCTACATGCATTGTCTTCTCCACCATCTCTTCCTTCTCCAAGAATCCGCATGCATACGTAGTTCAAGACTGTACTGAACATGATGCTATGCCCTTCTATGTGCAATCCCCATCCACCATCTTCATTCTGTTGTTATATTTTTATTTTAATGATTTACGATTTTATTTTATTTATCTATATTTAAAATAATATTTATACTCAAAAGATATTCATATAATATATATATATATATATACCTGATGATTGTATATATAACGAAGAATCTCTTTACGATGTTGAGAAGAAAAAACAACATCAAGATGTCCAGTAATATACAGACATATTACCTATAATTTGAAAACAATATCAACAAAAAAAATTTTTCTAGTAATTCTTATGAATTAATTTAATAAAGTAGAATAATTTTGTAGTTAATCGTATAAATTAAGAAATTCTAGAGGGAGTGCGACCAGAGGTGGGAGAAAAAACAATGGGCCAGCATTTTCGGCAGGCCAATGACCATCGCTTGCTTGCAAGGCTGAGAAGAAATGAACGGCTCTCCTCAAAGTTGTTCTGGCTGTTTCCTCTGTGATTTCTTCTCCATCCTCAACTTTCACTTGAGGAATTTTTTGCTCGAAATTTTTCTCCTTCAAGAACTGCAGTTTCATTTTTTTATAGAATACGAATATATATGTATATATATATATTATCAATTAAATAATAAATATACACCAATCATAATAATAAATTAGAATATACATGAAACTCAACTTCACAGTCTCTTATATAATAAAAGAGATACAATATTACTTAAAACTAGATTGGTACAAGTTCTTATTAGAACACACACACATGTATATACAATATACAATAGAAATGTTTAAGAAGTTGACTTTTATATGAAAGAAATATATATATATATATTGGTGTAGGTTCTTATTTTTTTTATACATGGATAGTGAATAAATCTCAAACGTTTGTTTTCAATTTGACTCGAAGACGTCGTTCTAAATATCTTTTGATTTCACTTTTTACGTTTTAAAATTATTTTTGTAATTGACAACAAATAAACTTAAAATTTTATTTTAATATTTTTAAATATAAAAATAACAATTTGTAATTTTTAAAAAATAATTTAAAATTTTTAATAAAAATTCATACTTAAAATTTCAAAAAAAAAAGTAGCTAAAATATTTTTAGTAAATAATTATTTTTAAAATTTACTTTGAAAACTACAACTATACCAAACATTCACTACAAGTCTTATGTCATAATTTGAATAATTTTTAATATTTTAATTAAATAATCTCGTATGTATATATAATATATTGAAGTACCTGCATGCGCCAGAGAAGATCAGCACTGGATTTGCGATAAAATCGATTGTTATAAAAATTTTGACGAGCCTGATCAACCTCTTGTCGCTCTAGAGGGGTTCCAACGTTAGGATTGAACTCCCATGTCTGCCTACCCACGAAATTATTGGTACTGTACAAGTAGGGCTCGTTTTCACCCTCTGCAATCTTCAACCTCCACATTACTCTCAGCAATACTAATATATATATATGTATGTATGTATGTATCTGCGTGCAATTATGTATACATGCAAATAATATATATATAGAACGTCCAAAAAGAAGATTCGTTTAGAACTATATATCTTCGGTATTATCTTGAACACTGATAATTATCTGGGGGATCCAAGAAAAGGTATGTAAAAACATTATATATATATATATATACATGTATATATAGCTGGTACTTGGTTATAATTGTGTATATATATATATATATAGTTGTGAAAAGAGTGATGAAAATTGCCAAGTTCAGAGAGAGGTTTGGCTAGAAGATAAAGAAGAGAGATGATGGAGAAAAGGAGCACGTACAAGGCCACTTATATAACCCATACTGCCTTCTAATTACAGTTCCAAAATCACATGCATATTAATTAATAATCAGTTTCTAAGATCACATGCTTTGCTTTCATATATCAGAACTATTTGCTACGTTTTATTAATATTTAACGCCTAACTTATACAAAAGTAATTGTAAAGCTATCTAATAATAGAAGGAAAAGATTTGCATATCTTGTGTTAATATAAATTTAAATTGGATATAAATATAACGTGAAGCTTGAGAGTATATCAACTTATAC